CTTGTGGGCGGGAAGTGTTGTGTTCCCTCCCCCATACCCCCTAACCCCCTACCCTGGGTCAGGAGGGGAAGGCCGCGAGGTGTCAGAGGGTCTTTGTGTCCCAAGATGGCCCTAAGAGGGCCCCAGAGGGCCGAATATGACCTCCAAGATCGCCCCAAGACGGCTCCATGTGGCCACTGACCCTCTCAAGGAAGCCACCAAGAAGCCAGCATCCTTCAAGAGCCTGCAGGATATAACTGTGTTCTGCATTCTCGCCTACGCTGTATTGCTGCACGCTGTGTTTTACGATTTGGAAGGTATACGTGTTGCAGTTTTGATGTCATGCACAACTGTGTAGGTGTTGCTTGTTTTCGTAATGCCTGTTTGCGTGTTGTGTTTACGTGGTGTGTTTCATGTAGTGAGCTGTTACGTTGTGTGTGCTACGCTGTGGTTTACGTTGTGGTTTGTATATTGCGCTGTTTTACGATGTGCCACGCTGTGGGTTGTTTTGCTTTGTTTGTTTGTGAGGTGTTGGTGTTTAAATGGTGTTGTTGTTACGTGGTGGTTTGTACACACCGACCTGGTGTTGGTTGCGCCGTGCTGTTCGTACGTTGTGTTCTACGTAGTGTTGTTGACCGGTGTTGTGTTACAATGTCCTGCAATAGATTGTAGGTGCTGGTGTGTTACGGTGTGCTTGCTCGCGCGATGTGGTTACCTGGCGTGTTGTGTGTTACGTGGTGTTTGTGTTCGCTGCGTTGTTGTACGCTGCTGCTTTTGTTTACGTGTGCTTTTACCATGCCACAACCGTAAAACAGCAAAGCGCAGAACAACACATCGTAGAAAACACTGCGGACAAAGCACACTGCATCGAACACGCTGCGTTTGGGGGGCTTCCGAGAATGCGCTGTAAATTATTGCTTATTTGGTCAAGTCGTTCCCTAACACGCTCTACCACGCAACACCCGACACTCCATACCACAGCCGTGTAAACAAAACGCAGCGTAAAACAACACAACGTGGAACACACTGCGTAGAAAGCGCTGCGTATAGTACGCGGCGCTTGGGTTTTGCCAACACCTCCCATCACATTCTCTCTACCACAAGAGCACGCCTCCAACAACTAGAAGTTAAAGGCGCCTGGCAACAGAAACAGCGGTCCGCGGATAAGAATCACAAGTGCGCGCAGACAGATGTTTTGGCAAGCGTATTTGCATTGTCCTTTTTGGAGGCGCGGTCTTGTCTGCGGCAAGTGTCTGGTTCGTTGCATTGCCTCGCTTTTTGCCCAAGAGCTCTCAGCTCCTAAGCGAAGGGCGCCTGCACCATGAAAACCTTTTGCGCGAAGGACGCTGGGATGCGCGTGCAAACACAACGTAGCAAACACTACGTAGCAAACACTACGTAGTAACCACACCGTCGTAACTATGTTGAATACACTACGTTGAAAACCCAACGTAGGCAGCACCATGTAGACAACACCACCTAAAAACCACAGCGTAGAAAACACTGCCTAGAAAGCAATGCGCAGAAAACGCTTCGCAGCTTAATTCTATTCGATGTTCAATTATCGATTTCACTGTTAAGAGAACCCGTGCCACCAAGAGGCCCCCAAAACGTCCCACGAGGACATCAAGAGACAACCGAAGAGACTCTGAGGGCATCCAAGAGGCCTCTGGCCTTTCTGCTCGCGCTCCTCCTCCGCCTCCTCTTCCTCATCCGCCTATTTGTCCTCCCTTATCCCTCCTCCCACTCCCCCTCCGCGTTCCCCTCCTCCCCCTCCTCCTCCTCCTCCTCCTCCTCCTCCTCCTCCTCCTCCTTCTCCCCCGACTCCTTCTCCATATCCCTCGTTTTTGTGTATGGCGACGTCCCCGGCCTGTCCTTCCATCGCATGCTCCTCCACGTCCCTGATCAGGGCAGCTCGCCCAGGCATCGTTTCTGGATGGGCTGGCGCGGTTGCGCGAAGCGTCCACACCAGGACTTGAAGCACGGCCCAGAAAATCGATCAACACCCCCAGACTCGGGGACACGCCGTGGATGACCACAATCGGTATCACTCGATCTATTTGATCCGATCGATCTCACACTCGCTATGGCTATCGATCTCACAATAAATATCACGATCGACCTCACTATCGATCTCGCAATCTATCTCACATTCGGTCTCACTGTCGATATCAACGTCATCATCATCATCATAGTCATCATCATCATCATCATCATCATCATCAGCATCATCATCATCATCATCGACATCATCGCCATCAACGTCATCAACATCATCATCATCATCATCATCATCATCATCATCGGGACACCATCATCATAACCACCTCATCACCATCATCATCAAAATCAACATCATTATCGGGACACCACCATCGTCACTATCAGCATCATCAACATAATCATCGGGACACCATCATCATCATCATCACCGGAACACCACTATCATCATCATCATCATCATCATCATCTCATCATCGTCATCATGAACAGCATCGTCAATTATAATCATCATCGGGACACCACCATCATCAGTAACATCATCATCATCAACAGCATCATCATCGGACACCATCAGCATTGTTATCATCATCATCATCAGCATCACCCTCATCATCATCATCGGGACAACATCATCATCAGCATCACCATCACCATCGGGCCTCCACCATCAAAATCAACATCACCTCATCATCACCCTCATCATCAACGTCCTCATCATCGAACACCAACATCGTCACAATCAGCATCATCAACATCAGCATCATCGGGACACTATCATCAGCATCACCATCATCATCATCATCGACAGTATCATCATCGGGACACCATCATCGTCAGATTCTTCATCACCATCATCATATCATCATCTCAGCATCGTCAACATCATCAGGATCATCAACATCATCATCAAACTCATCATCGAGGCACAATCATCATCAGCAACATCAGCATCATCAACATCACCATCATCGGGACGCCATCATCATCACCATCATGGCCATCATCATCATCATCACCATCATCACAATCATCGGGACACCATCATCGTCACCATCATCATTATCAACATCATCATCACCATCGGGACAACATCATGACCATAAAATCAAAAACACAACCAGCATCAGCATCATCTCATTATCATCATGAAGAGCATCATCAACATCATCATCATCGGGACAACATCATCAGCAACATCATCATCATCATCATCATCATCATCCTCATCATCATCATCATCGCTGGGACACCATCATCATCGACACCATCATCATCATCATCATCATCATCGCTGGGACACCATCATCATCATCAACATCAGCTTCATCATCATCGGGCCACCACCATCTAAACCATCATCATCACCTCATCATCATCCTCATCATCATCATCCTCGGAACACCATCACCGTCATCATCATCGTCATCAACATCATCAACATCATCGGGGCACCATCCGCGTCAGCATCATCATCATCATCAACATCATCATCATCATCAACCTCATCATCATCATCATCGGGACACCATCATCACCTTCATCTTCATCAGCATCATCATCTCATCATCTCATCATCATCAGGATCACCAACATCATCGTCATCGTCATCGGGACACCACCATCATCATCAACATCAGCATCATCAACATCATCATCGGGACACCATCATCATCACCACCATGGCCATCATCATCATCATCATCATCATCAACATCGTCATCATCATCATCATCATCAACATCATCATCAGGACACCGACGGGACACCGGCGGGACACCGCGCGACACCGGTTGCCGGAAGGGAGACTTTTGGTCCGGCCGCGCCTCAGCCACAGGCGGGACATTTCTCGCCCGCCCACGCAGCTTCGCCTCGCCCGCACGCACGGCACGCACGAACACGAAACCGAAACCGATTTCCTGGTACGGGGGCTCTCCGTTCCACTTCGATCTCACTCCCTCACCTCCGATATATATATATATATATATATATATATATATATATGTATATATATGCGTGTTTGCGCTGTATGGGACGGGCGGAAAGAAGAACATGCTGGCAAACAACATTCTTGCGGCTAGTCTTACTGATCACCCACCCGTGGGCATCGCAGCGTAGAATCCCCAACGAACGCTACCGCACACCGTGAGCTCGACAAGGAGATGCGAACAACCTGTGTTTGTTCCGCATCTTCTTGACCATCTCGCAGGTAGAAAACTTGCGACTCGCCTTCCTGATCGCCCACCCGGGGGCACCGCTGCGAAGAATCCCCTAACAAACGCAACCGTACACCGTGAGCTAGACTCGTTCCGCATCTCCTTGTCCAGCTCGCAGGTACCTGGGTCGTCTTCCTCATCGCCCACAGGTGGGCCCCGCAACGAAGAATCCCCGACAGACGCCACCGTACACCGCAGCCAGCGCAGCGACACCAGGCCCGAGCAGATCCAAGGGCGAAGCTATCTGCCCCTGGGGCTGGATCGACAGCTCTACAACGACAGGCAGCGAGCTATAGTAGAACCTGGCTGATGAGGCCAAAGGGGGACGAAAGTGGAGGAGGAGGCGGAGGAAGGGGAGGAAGGAGGGAGGATTGTTCTTGACATCCACGGCCAATGATCCCCCTTAAGGGGGTGGTCAACAAGAGAACGGCTCGACTGAGACCCCGTCCTTCTTTGGGTGGAGACCTTTGCCGAGCCCTCTCTCGGAGGAAGGAGGGAGGAACAGGGTTTGGGGGAGATGGGAGAGTGTGAAGGACCACCAGGCCCATGACTTGTGGAATTGCTGCCTACCTCCAGGTACGCCCTGCGCCAAGGCATAATGCGTCTTCCTTGTCTCAGATTTCCTCCTAGCCCGCTCCTCCCCCTTCCCCCTCTCTCCTTCCCTTACCTTCCCCTCCCCTCCCCTCCTCCCACCCCCCTCCCTCCCCCTCCCTTCCTTTCCTTCACCCTCCCGTCCCCTCCACTATCCACCCCCCCCGTCCCCTCCCCTCCCCCCGCGTCCCCCTTCCCTGTCCCAATCCTCGCCGCCCCTTATTACGCCCGCTGCTCCTCTACCCTCACGTGCCGGCAGACCTCCGCACTACATGCGGCGCCGTCATGCACCGCAGGCGCGCGCCCCGTGGCACGCGTGGCCTCACGTGGCCGTAGATGGTGCGCCGCGCACCACAAGCAGACGCGGCCCCCACCGCCTGCGGCTGTACTCAGCAGGAGAGGAAGCGGGCTGCGAAGGAAGACGGTCCTGAAACCTGGGGGCGTCCCCCGAGAACGCTTAGAAAAGCGCGCTCCGCTGCTCGCAAAGCAGCCGCTCGCAAATGGCCTGGATCCGCCGCGGGGGGTTCACGACCCATTACCTACATCGTAGCAAACCTGTTTTAGTTTTCTGATGTTTGCGAATACGGTGGTGGCGCTCGTTAAGGGAATGTGCTGAGGAGACTGCCGGAGGATCCCTTATCTGATGAGGGCGGCGGTGATATCCATGGCCGCTCCACGATTGGAGTGGAGGAGAAGGAGGAGGGGTAGGAGAAGGAGAAGGAGGAGGAGGAGGAAGAGGAGGAGGAGGGGTAGGAGGAGCAGGAGGAGGAGGAGGAGGAGAAGGATCAGGACGAGGAGAAGGAGGAGGAGGAGGAGTCCAATGTCCCCACCGCAGCGGAGGCTGGCGACGCGGGGAGCCTCGCGGCCGCGAGAGCGGAAGACGTGCCGCGCACACGCAGGCCTCGCGGCGGCACGCCACGGAGCGCGTTCCGCGCGCCGCGGGCCTCGCGGGAGTGCGCGCAACGGCCGCGCTGTCAATGAGCATCGTTTAACCGACCCGTATCCCCGATCCTCCTCCTCCTCCTCTCCTCCTCCTCCTGCTCCTCCTCCTCCTCCTCCTCCTCCTGCCTGATCCTCCTCCTCCTCCTCCTGCTCCTCCTCCTCCTCCTCCTCCTGTTGCTCCTCCTCCTCCTCCTCCTCCTCCTCCTGCTCCTCCTCCCCACTGGCTGATTTACCCCCCTAGATGGGGATGCAGGCTGTTTCCTGCAGGTTTCGAGGGGGATAGCCCCAACTGGGGTGCTGAGATGGTTGGGGTCTCGACGGGGACGGGGATGGGGGTCGGTGAAAGGATACCCGTCGGTCGGAAAAAGTTGGCAGAAGCATGGAAGTAGGAAGGCGTTGGAAGTAGACTGGGTCGCCGCCCGCCCCATGAAGAGAAAGGAAAAGGAACAAGCTCTCGTCGATTGATCGGCGGTGGACAAACCTCCCTGTAGTAAGGCTCCCCTAAGACCGAAACCGACGGACCTGGACCCGCAAAAATGACGGCCGCGACGCCCTCTCGCGAACCGAATACGGCCAATTCCTTCATCGACGTGTCAGGGTAGGAGGCCTATCAACCTCCGAATTGAAGCATAGGAAGACGCCTGAAACATATTGGGACCTGGGGATCCAGAAACACCTCCTCTCCAACGACCGACGGGCACTGAGTTGACGGGGGAGGCTTCAGGGCTCCATCGCCCTGGCCCTGGCTGCCCGCGCCAAGCTGGCCGACCTCGAAAGAGGAAAAGCGGCAGTATACAGCAAGCACAAACTTCCGACGGTCCGCGCGGATTTCTTGGACCTGCGCTGGGCCCCCCCTCCCTGGCGCGCGGAGCGCGCCAGGGGCGGCGCCAGAGGCGCCGCCAGGGGGGGCCCAGCGCGGATCCAAGAAATCCGCGCGGAGCGCCAGAAGCTGATGTTTCTGGCGCTTTTGCCTCGGTGGTTCAGAGATGGGGTCCTGAGGGGTAGGGTCCCAAGGACGAGGAGCCTCAAACAACGTAAATCTACCCTCGGATCCCTTCCTGAGTGGGCCCCGGAAACGGCAGGGCCGTTTTTTTCACCGTTTCCGAAAAAAAAACATTGAAAATGGAAACGGCAAAAAACGGCGACCGGAAACGTCAACAAAAACGGCTCCAGGATTGGAATCGGAGCGGGAGCCCGTACAAGAACGGCGACGGAACCGGCAAAAACGGTGTCGGAACCGGCGAAGAAACGGCAAAACGGAACCGGTAAAAGAACGGCTCTGCCGTTTCCAGGGCCCACAATGACGAACCGACAACACACACACACACACCCATACCCATAGGGGGGTCGGAGAGGGCTATGGGTGCGTGTTGTCGGATGGGGGCCCCCGTTCGAGCGGGAGCGTTCCCCAGGGTCCGACAGCCCGCACCCATGCCCACAGCCAGACCTCCTCCCAACGACCCCCCTATGGGTATGGGTGCGTGTTGTTCGCTCGTCGCACTGAGCTCAGGACCCCGTCCCTCAGGACCCCATCTTTGAGCCACCGATGCCCTTCCTCGAGACCTGGCGTCCTGCTCGGGCCCCGCGGCGGGGCCCGGAGCCGCCGGGGCGCCCGGCTGCTGCGGCCCGCTCGGGCCCTCGGTAGAGAGCAGGAGATCCGCACTCACAACGGTCACCCCGACACGCGAAGCCGGGGGCGGCAAAGAGGGGGGTGATGACTGGGGGGGATGGATATCATGGCGGGGGCGAGGATGTTTCCCCAGACTTCATGGCGCCTCTTCTCGTTTCATTACGTCCCCGGCCCCCCCGCTGGGCCGCGCACATGCCGCTGGCCATGATTTGCACCCCCCCCTCTTGGACACCCCCCTCTTGGCCGCTCCCGAGTTTAGTAAACGCACCCAAAGGATGAATCGAACAGGGCAGAGCTGTCTAACAAGCGCTTCAGGCCGTTTAGTAAACGCCACGTATGGTGTCCGGGTGGTTTTTCCTCCCTTGAGGGAGGACAGGTGGCCCTCCTGCGGTGTGGCGGCGGCGCCGGGGAGCATCGCGGCGAGCAGCAGCTGCTGCTCGCTCTGCGGCTGGTCCTCCAGTGGCGCGGCGGCCAGCTGCTCCTGCTGCTGCTGCTCCTTCTGCTGCTCCTTCTGCTGCTACTTCTGCTGCTGGTGCTGCGCGTACTGGAACTCGCGCTGCAGCCGGTCCTACCGCTGCAGCTCGTCCTGCGCCTGGTCCCGCAGCCGCGTGTTCCGAAGCAGCGTCGCCTACCCTCCTCGCTCCTCTCCACCCTCCTCCTCCCTCCCTCCCTCCTCTCCAACCTCCTCCCTCCCTCCCTCCTCCCTCCCTCCTCCCTCCCTGCATCCCTCCATCCATCCGCCTCTCATCCCTCCTCATCTTTCTCTCCCTACTCCCTCCTCCTCCCCCCTCCTCCTCTTCCTCCTCCTCCCTCCTCCTCCTCCTCCTCCTCCTCCTCCTCCTCCTCCCCTCCCCCCTCCTCCTCCTCCTCCTCCTCCTCCTCCTCCTCCTCCTCCTCCCCCTCCTCCTCCCCCTCCGCCTCGCCCTCCCCCTCCTCTTTCTCCTCCTCCTCCTCTTCCTCCTCCTCCTCCTTCTCCTCCTCCTCTCCGTAGCCATTTTGGCTCAAGCGAGCCGGCGAACGGGAGGCCCTCGCGGACGCGCGCCCGCGGCGGGCTCGTGGGCGCGCGCCAGAGGCCGCGATGGAGACACGGCGCTGGTCGGTTGCCAGCGCCCGCACGCTGGCGCGGCGGCTTCGGCGGCAGGCGCGCGATGAGCGCGGCCTGAGCCGCTCCGCGGCGCTGGCGGCGCGCACCAATGCGATGCGCGCGGCGCTGGCTGCCCACTGGGAGTTGGGCGAAGCCCTTGGTTGGCACCCCGCCGCCATGGGCGAGGCGCTCAGCGCGGCGAGGCTCCTCAAGCTCCCCACGATGGCGGTCGAGGCGGCCGAGGAGCTCTGCGGGCACGGCAACTGGGGGCGGCATGCGCCCCCTTCTGGGAGTAGGCGCCTCCCTGGACCAGCCCAGGAGCCCGTGGTCAAAGGGGAAGTGCTGGAGGACTTCAGGGGCAAGTTTTACGGCGTGCGGCCGCAAGACGAGGAGCTCCTGCTCGCCCTCGGCGTTTGTTGAGCATGGACCGACCGTCCCGGCATTCCTATAGTCCTACCACGAAATGCTCTTAGAACCCCAAAATGTTCTACGAACAAAAACAATGTTCTTAGAACATAAGCCCGGTGTGTGAAACCAAGACAGTCCAAGCCAGAAATGTTCTAAGAACATTTCGCGGACACAAGAGGTTCTTAGAACATTGTTTGGTAAGGCTGTAGGCGAGCCAAGACGCTTCTCCACTGCTTGAGTTTGCGGCGAGCCGGGTGGCGGCGGCATCACTGGCGCGCCGAAGGCTGGCGAGGGCGAGGAGCGGGACAGCATCAGCCTGGCGAGCGGGGACGAGCACGAGCTGGGCGACAGCTTCGGGGAGCTGGGCGTGGAGGAGATCCAGGAGAACACGGCGCAGGTCCAGGAGACGACGCTGCAGGAGGTCGACGTGGACGAGATCTCCGACGGCCAGTCGAGGCTCGTCGGCGGCCAGGTCACCATCGTGGGCCACCAGGGCAGAACCCAGCCCATCATCGGCGCGGCGTTGTGCTTCGGCGACTCGCTGGGGGCCCTGGAGGAGGAGGAGGAGAGCATCGACGGCCTGCCGACGCTCGACGGCGGCCAGGTGAGCAGCAAGGGCCACCAGGGCAGGGCCCCGCACTTCTTCGGCGCGGGGGTGAGCACCAGCGACTCGCAGGGGGGTCCTCGCGCGGTGGGGGCCCGCACAGACAGCCCCCTCCCTCTCGCGACCGAGGAGCGCGACGACCGCGGCTACGGGACCAGCGGCGAGTTCGACGCCCACGGGGCCGCGCGGGCTCTACGGGTCGCTTGGCTGGCACTGGCCCGCAAGGGCCGCAGGGCGAAGCTGCTGGGCACGGGCGGCCCACTTCTGCGGGCCTCGAGGGGCGGCGCGGCCGCAAGAGTGTGGGGGAGGCACGTTTCCTGGCTGGGGCTCGAGGTCCTGATCAGATCAGGCAGCACATCCAGGACGTGGAGGAGTAGCTGCCTTAGTGGGCGATGGGCTGCGGCATGCCGCTGCCGCCGCTTGGCTACCCCCCGTTCAGGCGGCTCCGTGACTGCCTAGACGAGGCCGCGCTGGGCTTCCCCACCGCTGCGGGTGCTGCCGCGCTGGCCCGTCGGCACAGCCCGAGCTGGCTGGAGAGGCGCGACGCTTTCGTGCGCGCCGTGCGTGAACGAGTCGGGCCCTCCTGAAGCTGACCCTGGACTCCGCCGTGGCGCCGCTGTGGCGAGTTCAGGCTGAGGCTTGTGGGGGGCTCCGCACCAGCAGACGTGGACGCATGAGTCGCACCTTTTAGTGTGCCCGCGGCCCCTCTTTCCACTGACAACTAGCTGGGGCGGAGTGTGCGCCAGGTTAGTTCTAGCAGCAAACCTCCTCCTCCTCTTCCTCCTCGTCATCCTTCTCTTCCTCCTTCTCCACCCTCCT